TCTCCGTCTTTACGACAAACGTTTTGGAAAATATTAGCGTTTGTGTTCGTTTTGACTTCGTGTGGACGGGGCCTGAGTCAGGTTAGCTAAACGGAGCTTCGGTCCTAAAATTGAAGAGCAGTAAAGGGTCAGTTGTGGAAATGCCTCAAGCTGGGTTTTCGAAACAGCCAGATGCAAAACAGCTCTCTCCCCTCAGCTGGGCCCACACAAAAGATAAAAGACCCCTGCAAACACTTGTGCACAGAACTGTGAGGGTCGCACACATGCCACCTTACACACAGGCCGCACACACAAGAAGAGGGGAAATCAGAGGGGCTTTTCACTTTGCTGAAAAGAGTCCTCATTGAACTGTTCAAAGAACCAGGCAGGAAACAACCAGCACCAGTGTGTTCTTATGTGAACGTACATATGTGTGAGTTTGCAGGCGAGTGATGGTTCTGATGAAAGTGTGGGATTGTGTATGTGACCGTGTCCTCCGCCGCTGCCTAACGATTGTAAATTGCGTGGCTGCAATTTCCTGAGTGCTGCGCGCTCGCTTTGTCCTCTTATGTGCAGATGAATAGGCAGCTCCTCCGCTGTGATGAGAGCCTGTAACTGCATCTCTTTTTTGCTCGTGTGTTTCACTGGAGATTCATTTACTAACAAGAAGTGCATCCCTATTGGGCTGCTGGTGTGTGAGACACTGAGATGTGTCTGCTACAGTAATAATGCTCCTTTATCTAGTTATTGTATGTTTTTTTTCTGTCCACTGTACTTTATTGCTTTTTTTCCAGAGGTTTTTTTTTTGTCTTTCTTTTTGTTTCTCTGTCTAATAGAGGGCTTGTGCTGTTTTTAGTCTCTGGTGACCTCCCAATATTATCTGAACCAAAGGATTCATTCTTTTGGCCTCACATGTCAAATTTTTAATGATCTCAGGAGATCAGCTTTTAATGGGACATATTTAACCCATTTATCTTCTTTTTGTCTGTCTGATAAGTTTATCCTTCCTCGTCTAAATGTATGTATAAGCCACCTCATTTGATCGCGTGACCCGGTTGGCTTTGTAGCGCCGTGCTGACAGAAAAGAGGCCATGGCTGGCGCTCAGATGGCAGGCGGCCCGTAAGAACTCTAGCTGGACTAGCTGGACACCCCACTGCAGGCCCAGCGGTAAACCCCTGTTTCATCCTTTCTCTTGGAAAAATCCTGCACACAGACGAGGGACGAGCATCTGCTCTCATTGCCCTACTTCTCGGTTTTCCTCTCGTTTCAACAACTGGAAGCACACACATACAAAAAAAAATCCTATCCATATTCGCTGTCATCGTACCGATTGTATGAACATATCCTTCTTCCAGCCGACCCTATAAGGACCCCTTTGGCAGCAGGAATGAGGAATCCTGCCATGTTCTCTGTAAAGCCTGAATAAACCTCTAAACCCCCCATAGCTTCTTTAATTTACTGACTAAACACTGACACTGTCATCTCCTTCAATCCCACGAGGCATTCTAAAACAATATAGACTCATTTACCCAAGGATCATCACTTTATTGCTAAATACTTCATGCTGTAAAATGCACACACTATGTACTGTATAATAGAATGGTTTGCCAGTTTATTTTTTTGTTTTTTTCCAAAGCAGTTTTTGCACTCTCTGCGTTTCATTGCTTCGTATGTTGAGTGTTTTAGGTGTTTTCTCTCAGTGTCTTTGTTGCAAACAAGGAACATCAACAGTTTATTCATTATTTCAGTTCCTTTTAACAGATCCCAGACTTTTAACTTATACACATCAGTTTGATGCTCCATAGGGTTTTGTCTTGGGACCAGTTGTTGTTTAGCTTTAAACCTCTTCCCACTTGTTCCAAAAATGTATGTCAACGTAATAACAAGAAACGCCAACTTGCCCGAATATATTAAGAAAAATAACAAAAGTGCTTCTATAAAAAAATCTCTGAGAGTAAAAGAAACACTTTTTTTTTCTGGTACAACATAACCTTACAGGCATAAATGCTGATATTGGCACTTAAAATTTTTGAGATTATAAACCTAAATATAATTTTTATCTAGGCTTATTAAAGGAATAGTACACCCAAAACATGATTAGCCTTCATTTTCTACTCACCCCCATGCTGAACAACACTCTGGAGTACTTTTTTGATATCT